TTTATCTAAGAGTTTCAAAGCTGTAGAAGTTTGAATTCAGTGCTTAAAGTTTCTGTATTTTGAGTCTAATCCATCCAGCTAAGAATTAGATGAGAATGTAATTTTAGCACATCTAGTCATTTTATCTTRCTGAAAACCTTGAAATAGACAAGGCAGTTGAATAAAGTGGAACTCGATTGAAAGTCTGATACACAGTTAGTTAGCAAGTTGGGAATTTAATTGAGTTTTTGTTAACATTTTGCTACAAAAGATGTGTTTTGGAAAAGTTGGAGTTTGTACTCTAGTGCAGTGTTGCTCTGAAATGGAGACTTTGGAGACCATGGGAAGTCACAAAGGCCCTTTGAATGGAAACTGCTAAGCTAAGCCCAGATAAAAGAGGGGAAACACAAAGTGCCTGCTTCTCCCTCTTTGTACTCCAKCAATCATTTTGAACACTGAATCTTCTAAACTGCACCAACAGAAGTTCTCTCTGCCTGTTTGTCCCTGAGATGCATCAGGCTATGTCATGCTGTGTCTGCTCATGCCACTGGGGCATTTGAATTTTGGCTGATTTAGGGATGTGGTGGCTTGCCTTTAGGGTCACTGTGGGCAGCAAGCCCCAGGGCCGTGGCTGCAGCTCAGTGCTGCTCTTTCAGGACTGCAAGGGCCAGGCAGAGAAAGCCACGGGAACGTACACAGGAGGAGAAGAAACAGCTCTATATGAGGCTCTTGACAGACTTGTAACAGTAATGCTGGTTGGTCTTTTTATTTTCCACCTTTGCTAAAAATTTCTGGTGTAATGTTTTGAAAACAGATGCCCAGGAAATAGATTCCTTCAATGTTTCAGAAGTAATCAGTTTGGGTTTTTTTTTTTATTCATCACAATCTGACATTTGTTAAAATTGGGTTCAGTTGAATGGAAGAGAATTTTTTCATTATTTTAGCTGCAAATACATTTACACTTTTAATGAGTTTGAACCTGCAGACTGCCTGTTCAGATCTACCCAAGCGAGTTTGAAGTAATTATGGAAAGAATGACAGAACAAAGGCTGTTTACCAGAATACATCCGAGTACTTTTCTGAATACAAAAATMCAAGCTTTCCGTTCTAAATAAAAATTGTTATAAAGTAAATACACATATGAATAATTTCCATACCATAACTTTACTAAGGTATTCTTTTTTTCCAATAACACATCAGCTTCAAGTGATTGGTTTCCTTTACTTGAACACTATGTATTTTGAAAGCTGTCATTAGCTTCTAGTTCTAATCTAAAAACTGGTTTAGGATATGGAGATTTCATGACAGTTATGTCAATAATTATATATTTTTTCTTTCCAGCATATAATTAGCTACATATTGAATTTTTAGTATTGTATTTTTTGACTGTTTAGATTTCTGATATGAATGAGTAGAAAAGAATTACTGGCATAGATTTGTATTGTGTTTACAAGTTGTTTAGTTAAACTTCTTACTGTTCAGTATTTACATCTAAATACATTTTCTAAAGTTAATGTGTTATTTTAATTTCACTTATTTAAAGTTCCTTTACCCTAATGAAACATATTTTCCCATTCTTTTGAGAAAGAAAGAATATTAGGGTTTTTTSGTTAATATTTTCTCTAAATTTTTGTCACCATTTTGGTGGCCTCTCATATTCTCAGTAACAGCTACWAAACACATTAACTCCTAATCTTAGAAATACAATAAATACAGATTTGACAGCTGAATCTTAAAAAGTGAAAAGGCACCAAAATATTATTGGATTTACAGATGGGAATATGAGTCACAAGTGCAGATCTGTCCTACTCGTATGACTGTGTATTTTATTTCTATAGCAAATCAAATTTCACCTTGCAAATAAATTCCACATCACTCATGTGCGGTTACAAACTCTCCACATCTGCTGTGTTTCACTGCTTATGGGTTGCTATGGTATTGTTATCACATTGTTGATTATGGAGAAAGCACTTGAGCTGCAATGTACATTTCACATGATTTYTAGACCCTTCACATGAAAATACAAGCTTGTCTGATAAAGGCCAAGAAAGTTTATGTAATAGTTAACAAATATAAGGATTAATGAAAGTTTGAAAACAAAAAAAATCTCTCCGGGGTCTTTTGTAGACTGCTATAAGAATTTGTTATTGATTCCGTTTAATAATGGTAGGAAAATTAATCCCTAATCTATCAATTATCAGATATACAAAATGCAATTAGGAAAAATAATTAACTAACTACTTAATATTAAAAACTTAATATTGATACTTTTGCTTCCATAAGTATAATGTATATAAGATTCCTGTAAAAAGATGAACATTCAGAATAGTTGACCAAGGGATCCTATGAATGCAGAAAGATAAATTTGCTTTGTTTTACTATGGGAAACACAAATGTGCCTAAGAAAAGCGGTTTGTAAAAGATGAAAAATTTCATATGAAAGTCTGTACTTCTCTGCTCTAGTTTAAGAATTTTCAATCAATCGAGATGAGTTATATTTCAGGGTTCRTGAAATAAACCTTTTGCCAGCAGAGAAGGAGCTTAAAAGATTTTTTGGGAACTTAAGCTTGTTTAAACAGATAAGGCAGTAATATATAAGAGCAGGAATACCTGTGCTGGAGSTGGAGCAGCTTGGTCCCTAGAGCCAGCTGCTGGAATTATCTCTTATTCCTCAGTCACCTACTTCAGCAGCAAGTTGTGTTCCCAACTGCTTTCTCTTGCTCTGTCCATGTCTGACTCAACTGGTGGTTCGTCTTCCTTACTCCAGCGTTGTTTGCATTTGAAAGACCATACTCCCTAAAGAAAACTGTTCATTTTTCATTGTCACCATGAATTTAAACATCTAGAAACTACATGTGTCTGTTGTTCCAAAGGTAATTATGGTGATAGAAATCAGTTTGTTCAAAAGGGGTAATCAGTCATTGAGATAAAACTTTTAATTCGATTAACYGGTTCAGCTAACACAGAGCACTTTGTTTTAGTGTCTTGCATAATATGACACTTGTCTTGCAGGGTRTTATTTATAATAGAAGTAACATTCTAGCAGGTCAAGAAGAGATGGTAAAGAAAATTATAGTGTACCTGCATGTCCTGTTAATTGCAATGAACCTTTTAATTGCTTTACTKCATGTTGTTCCTGATTAGAATAAAGAAGTAGGTCTTTGGAATACTATTTTTTTCTCTGAAACCCTTCTGTGCACACACACACACACATTTGATATAATATGTATGTATGTGKATATATATAGATATGTCTGTATATGTATAAAACATCTCTGAAAGAATTCCTGGAAAGTCTTAGGATAAAAACACCCCTATCCTGCTGATCAACATTTAAATTAGTCATCAAAGTAAAAAAAAATCTTTCCTTCACAACTAGGAAAACTTTTAATGTTTTAAGAGTTGCAGCTCAATTCATAAGGGTGATAAAACTAACAGTGTACTTAAGATGAAAAAGGAATCTTGCCAATTGCTGTCTCTTCTAGGAGACAAGAAATCTTTTTGATTTCTCATTCAAAATACYATGCAGCTCAATAATTTTGCTCTCGGGTGTATTGAGTTGAACACTATGCCTTTTCTGTGCCAGAATTAACGTATTTAAACTTGGATCTTTGTCAGGTTTATCCTCAGGGTACCATCACATAATGCCTCTACTGAGCTGTGCAGTTCACAAATGAGTAGTAGTGAAAGGAAATCAAAAAAATGCATCMGTTGCTGAGAGTTTGGGTTCTGGKGTACCTGGTCAGGTTGAGGGACAGGGGTTTTATTATGTGATTTATGGTATAACACTGGATGACTGTTTCCCAGRTTTCCATCACTGGAGCAGGGAGGGATACTGCCTCAGAAGGATTTGAAATYGTGCTTCTGCTTTTAGGATTACAGGAAGTCAGTTTTTCTTCATTTTTGTAGTATTAGTGCTGTGGATCTCAGCATAAATTAACATCTGCCTCATTTTCACAGAAATAAATGCTTTGATTAGCTGATTTTAGGTGACCTATTTYGGCTTGAGAAGAGCATATGACCTCTCAAGYCATGAACATGAACASTTCTCAGTGACAAATGTAAAAATGTGATGCTGTAAAGTTGGTTCTTTTTTTTGCATGACCTGTGCAACTGAAATGGGTAAATCTCTGGGTATCAGGAAGGTCCAGAATTTCTGTCTGCATAACAGTACTCCATATGAGATTCAGAGTTGTAATAAATATATTAGCACAAGRAATTCTTCTATGTCCAGGAATAGTCCATCAGGACTTTTATAGATAAATTAAGTTTTATGCAAAACATATTTTTTCTCCTTTAGAAGGGCCCATTCAAAATATTAATCCCAAGGGTTCACATTCTACCCTGCTGCTCTTGAAATCTTTTGCCTGCATCTCTTGAAAACTTAAGAAGCTTTTGAAAAAAAGTCCACCTTTCAGTATATTTATATAGTCATAGTGAAAATTGGCAGATGACTTGTTGAAGGAGACAAATGGAGAGTGGACACCTAAAGTTAGGTGTCATCAATCCCATTTTATGCCTTCTTATGGAATGCAAACCTTACCTACTTTTTTGTCAATCTTAACACAAACTACGTGGCAATTACTGAAATATCTTTTCCCYTGAGATGTCCAAATGAGTCTGTGTCATTTTTTACAGGCTCAATTTGGTGACACACAGTGCCAGAATTTTTAGCTGTCAGCCCTAGGCTTCCCTCCTGTTAGTTCAAACAGGATTGTAGTCTAAATGATTAACTGCTTTATTTCTGGTGTGCTTGTTTGTTACCTGCCATATGAAATTTGGAAACTGAATTTAGTGGTGTTGTAAATTGCRCCCTTGAGCTTTTCTTTTAACATATATTTAATGCCATGTTAAAAGGGTGTTGGTGTTGATCAGATAATTTTGATGTGAAGATATCTGTGGCCCACTTATAAAAATAGTAAAAAATATAAGAATTACTTATCCCTCATCTTTCAGTATTGATAAGCATTTCAATATAAAAATTAATTTATAGTAACATTAATTTCACATTTTTATTGCAGGATAGAGGAAGAGAAKAATATTTTATCAGAATTTCAAGAGGATTTGAACAAGTTGATTTTATGGTTAGAGGAAGCAGACAGTGTTATTCGTATTCCCCTTGAAAAAGGGAATGAAGACCAGTTGAGAGACTGCCTTAGCAAAGTAAAGGTATTGTAAGCTCTATTCTTAATGTTTTCTTACTTTATCAATTCCACATTGAAGAAAATTAAATCTATTTTCTGAAAAGGTATTTGACATAAAACGCAGCATTCATATAACTTTTTTAGATAAATCAAAGCAGGGAGTTTCAAAACCCAGGTACAAATACCTATTGGTCATACTGAAACCAGAAAAGTAATGGAAAATGAACRGAGAGTAAAATATTCTGAAACTAGGAAAATAATCATTATCTTTGTCATTCTCATTTCTTAATTCAGAGCATACCTGAATACTGGTTTATATGTATAGCATTTCTCTATAAGTGTCTTGTTAGCATTTTGTAACTTCTCACTTAATAAATGGTATTCAGTATTTCACAAGAGTATCCAGAACTGCATGCTTAATTATAGATGTCAGCTCGTTAAAATATTGCTGCAACATTTTCTAGACTAAACATCTAGGTGACTTATTTTTAAGATTACTTAAAAAACCCCATCAGAATATAAATTATTTGTTTTTAAAGGCTGGAGTATTTTCAGGAATGTGTTAAGAGTTTGATACTGTTAATAAATGTATTCAACAGAAGTTTCTCTGTTTAGTTTTTTGAAATGTTTTCAGTAAAATGACTTTTTAAATGACTCATACAATAAAAAATTAAACTGTAATTGGAAAACGCATATTACTTATAGARTATATGCCTAAAGGCTTTATTTTCTCCCTTGAGGACAAGGATCTAGTTATCCTTTATGTAAATCCAAGTTGAACAGATTCAGCAAGGGATGAACAGAGCATTAAAGAATCTGAAGAAAACTTATCAAATTGTTCTATCTTTCTCACAACAAAATATGAAAAAAAAAAAACCAAAAAAACCCACCAAACACCTCCCAAAGGATTATTTAGTAAAAATCTATCTTCGAGTTTCTTTTTAAATAAAAATATGATAAGTATCATTTGAGGAAATGGAGRCTCAGCTCTGTGGTGGGTTTGTCCCTTTGTTCAGCACAAGATGCCATTGAGTCAGTCAGGGAATTTGTGAGGCTCTGTTGAGATAATAATAATAAAATAATTGATAATAAAATAATTGGTAATAAAAAAGAACAAACAAAAAAGGAAAAAACCCACGAGAATAAAACATTTGAATAACTTTGTCTTCAGGTGACATTACCCTTACTTGAAATACTAAATTACTTTGAAAATACAAGTTTTCAGTAACAGCATACATAGTGGAGAAGTGGTACATTTTGGTGCTGCCTTGTGTTTCCTTTTGGCTTTCCTTTTTTTTTTTTTTTTTTTTTTTTTTTTTTTTAACATACATGAACATTCTTAATTAACAGGTTAGACTGGAGTGAAGAGTTTTTCATCACGTACCGTCCAGGTGATCAGGTGATTGTTCACAGCATGGAACATATTAAAATTCTTCTCCAAAATGCTTGCTCCAGACCGTATTACAAGATTATTAAAATTGATATACATGAAGTATTGAGTATCCAGGGCTGGAATGTACAATGTAATAGTGATTAATATCCTGAGAAACCCTGTATTTTGGCACTTAGAACTCTCTTTAGACTTGATTCACCAATAGAGGTTTTTTTTTTTAGCCTTCTACATTCAGAAAGCAACAGTTATTTTGTCTTGAATTGAGTTTATTCCTTTGGCTGATACACAAATCAATAAGGGTCAAGATAAGAGAGCTGAAATTYCTACCACAGTTCATCTTAACTGCTGTATTTGTCTGTTCCAGTTAAGAGTTGGAGAGCTGCCGCCCCACAAGGGAATACTGAAACGATTAAATGAAACTGGAGGAATAGCACTTGGAAGTGCATCACTGAACCCAGACAGAAAACATAAGCTTGAGAGTACACTGAAGGAGGCTAACCATCGTTTGCTAAAGGTTAGACATATTACTGATATAACTGTGATATAAAATTTTAATCTGCAGTGAATATTTGCATTATATATTTTCTGGTATGTCTAWTTTTTCTCCGTATGAAGAGACATTTGTGTGCATAATGAACCTGAGGAAGAAAAATGCGTACAATACACTGCTGTGAGAAACTGTGATAGCAAACCAARACCATTAGTGCCTGAAGTGATGATGTTGCATTCAAATATACTCCCTAAATTGCAGTTCTTCTGCGTGAAGGTGGAATGCAGAGCTTCATTTTTGTAGCCTGGTGCTTTTGCTGGTACAGCAAATATTCCAGGCTTTGTGACTCAGGTGTGTAAGAGAAAAATGTTTGGGTTTTTTTATGGAAACACTTCACGATTCGCTCCTCTTCCCAACCCAAAGGTGGATATTGCAACCCCTGTTTCACCTTCCACTTTTTTCCAACCCTCCAGACTCCTGGGTTTTGTGTAGCAAAGTACCACATACTTTGCTTTCTGGGATTCCATACTGATGGAAAGATGTAAGAGAGGATTTTGTTCGGCTTTACTGCTGAAGCAGCATATTTTTATGTTGAAAACTGGTGAAAATGAGTAACAAGTGTGGTAAAGAGAGGTAGATAATTTGACAGTTTTCATGGTAGAAGTGACAGAAATCATTGGGTTTCCATACTGATGGAAAGAAAGAAGGGAGGATTTTGCTGGTTTATTGCTGAGGCAGTGGAATTTTATGTTAAAAACTGGTGAGAATGAGTAGCAAATGTGGTAAAGAGAAGTAGATAATTTGAGAGTTTTCATGGTAGAAATTAGAGAAAGCATTGTCCAGAGGACTACCAGCCAAGGTATGGATTATCCTGGTTGGAAACAATAAAGGTAGAATGAGGTGAAGGATTTCTCTTGATATTGATTGCAAAGTCAGTCAGAGACATTAACTTGTGGTATCTGCTTCTTTAAGTTACCAGGATGCTGGGGAAGAAAG